AATGAGGTGGCTGAGGTTAATCTGTTTGTGGATTGATTACAAGGCTACCTATGTGGCAAAGAACATCATGTCAGATGGCTGGAAAGACAGTGTTGGGAGGACATCGATTAATTCTTAATATATTATCCATGAGGGATAATGTTCCATTGCAGTGTGGTTGCCTCAAATAAGGTCAAGAGCGCGAAGTTGTTCTTAAAACTATTAGATGATAGATGCAGGTTGTTGGTGGGCAGGACATAGTCAACTCATAACTGACATCATAATCATCAGAGCCTTTTCCCAACTATTGGGGGTCGGTTATCAACTCATAACTGACATTGCTAAGAATATTATGACTGCATGATAAAAGCATATGAGGAAGTGAGAGCATTTGTAGAGTATTGTTCAGTTCATTCCATCGATTTTGATGCTCGAGGATATTGGGCAATTGAAGGGCATTAAAGTCACAAGCTGGCTTTAAGAAGGCAGTTGCCTTAGAAGAATGGATAAAATTCGCCAATCCGAAAGACTCCAGGCAGCAAGAGAAGTTGAAGGATAATAAATAGTAATAGCTTTTGGGATAGGTGTGAGCTGATTGTAACAGTTCAGAAAGTGCTGACTCTGATAAGGAGCTTGCTATTAGATTCTTGTATGAAGCAATTAATCTGGCATAGTAGGCCACCAAAGTGACGTGCACATTCCATTAGAAAGTCTGGGAAATAATTAATGAGCGATGAAATTGTTGCATCGCAAAATACACACAGAAAGTAAATTGTTTAATATTTAAATGTTTAATAGTTATAGCCATTTGGATTTTGGATTATGGATTTATGGGCTTATGGTTTATACCTGGTGAGGGTTCATGTATATAATTTGGGTTTTGTCTTAATTCTTAAATGTGTATGCTATTCAGGTTTCTTTCTTATTCTGAAGTACTTCTATGCTTTAGAACGGCCAAATCACCCCAAGATCATGAAGGGGTGAAGAACTGCATCGAGATATTTGACCGAGGTGGAAAAGTTAACATTTCAAAAACGATTTGAGCGAGATAGAGCACAGCTTGAAGTGTTGATGGAGGTAAGACTTTTTTATGGAAAAGTTTCTCCAACTTTGGCCATCCATGAGTTATGCAAGCCACATTTGCAAGCTACTTGAAGATTTTCTTCCTCAGTTTTCGTTGTATGTGGATGCGTGAGGGAAATTTGCGACAAACATCATTAGAAGATCTAGTCTAGCTTTCAAGTTCCTACAGACATGCCATTCTGTTGCACATTATTTTATTTTCATTGGACTTCTTTCTTATGAGTTCGTTGTCCCATTTTCAGCATAATGCTTAGTACTACGTTCCAGTGGAGCTCCCCACTTACAAGAATTGTGATCAAGGTGCTCAACCAAACTTGATCCGCAACAGGATGTGAGTGGAGCTGTACTATATTGTAGTGGATCAAGTGGGGAAGAAACAAGTTGGCTGCAGGCAAGCTTTACAAGCTGGCCTATGTTCATTATAACTTTAAACCCTCAAAAGTGGCGGCTGAGGAGGGAGGTGAACTGCAACCTTGTCAACTTAGATCACATCTTTGAAGAAGATCCAGGTGAATGGCTGGTAAATATGGAGGAGCCAGTTCTCAATAAAAAGGTATTGAAAGAAGAGATGGTGCCCATAGATGAGGGAGGAGAGGAAGGTGGAATTGAAGATGCATAATTTGGAGCAGGTGTTCAAATTTAAGAACAAGGGAACAATTGAGGAGGAGATGGTGAAGATGATGATGAAATTGAAGCAGATGATGGTGACTAAAGAGGCTGCGAGAGGAAGCATGAGCAGCAATGGGAGCAAACACCTGGTGTGGACTAGCCTTCAAGACTTTTGGTTGGGGGAAATATCCAACTTACCCAAACATCAAAGTCATTCTTGAACCTTTACGGGCATAGTCTGGATGACTATGATTGCCTATCATTCATATTGGTCATAGCTTGAGTCACTTAGAATTAGACTGCGTGTCTTCTATTTATTTTTAGTTATGACTCTAGTAGTCAACTTTATGGCTTAACTCATGGATACAGTGGAATCTTTTTGCTTGGTCTGTTAGCTACTACTTGTGAATTGTTAATTTGGAGCTGTTTGTCACCACTCAATAGTACTTTTAAGTTTGAGTGTATATTTGTAATTTGATATGCTCTTATGAATATGAGTATTCTTATGTAGTAGTATTGCACTATTGAATGTATGCCAAATAGTGGAACATGCCAAGAACTGTTTAAAATCCTCAGTATCTGTTAAGTTTCTATTTTTTTCTTCTATAAAAATAATTGTCACTAATTATTTTCCTTAACTTTGCACATGTTTCCCATTTTTTGGAGATTTTTTTTCTCGATTTTTAAGGACTCCGGCAGATTCGTCAAGTGCAATTTGGGACTTGCCAAGCATTCTCAGACCGTGTCCTGTTCAATTCTGGACTTAGTTCTGCGTTTTGGAACACTTATGAAAGTTTGGAAAAGTTAAAGAAATTTTTAAATATTATGGTGCCGACCAGCCTAACCTAAGATGATATAGGAGTGAACTTGCAGGGGTCAGCTAAAAAATGGCATCAATAGCACAGCTATGATTTCTTTAGGAAGAAAAAATGACTGATGGTTGATTCCCCTCGGGCCTTGAATTTAGTGTGAAGACTTGGACCCTCTAGAATTGAAGCAGTGTTAGTTTAGTCCAATTCAATTTAGCTTGAACCTACTAGGTGAAAGTCAAAGAAGTGGCTATGTGGAATTCAAGGGAGTAAAAAAAAAAAATTTCTCTCTTTTTCTTTTATTAATGAATCGGAATTCCACTTGCAAGTACTGCAATATGTTGCTGTAAACAAAAAATAAAACCCTTAATACAACTCAGGATCTTAGCTTTTACTACCAAGGGGAATAGACACAATCCAAGAATGAAAAACGAACTTCAACTAACAAATTTAGGACAAATAATTTTCCTAAAAATTCAAATAAATAAGAAAAGAAGAAGGAAAAATAAAAGCAATCAGTTGAGAAGACTTACTAGAATTTGCCTAGGGTCACCCCATAGGACTTAGTACACTGCACATCCGATTTCCTCCTTATATAAGCCTCAAAGGCCCTAAGTATGCCTATGTAATTGTGACTCATTATGACCAATAGAGTTTTAGGAAATCTGAGGCGAGAGACGATTAAATTTGATTCATCCATCTCATGAATCAGCCATTATGATTTAGGAAGGACTTGTACAAACCTTATATATTGGATCTTTTGACCCATATCCACTTCTAGTCAAACGAGGATAAAACCAATCTTAAAATAATTTCCTAGAACTTCCTTTGTCTCTAGCAAAATTGTAAGAAGTCAAAAATAAAAGATTTGGTCAAATATACAACAATATTTTCAAAGAACCAACTCCCACAAAATAAGGACAATCTTTATTAAAAAATATTTCCTTAACTAACTTTAAAAATACACTTTTTATTTTTAAAACAAAAACAAAGGGCCTTGCCACCTCATGTGTGAGGTGTGAGGCCCCCATGGGCACCACCCCCCACCCATGTGGTGTGACATACACGAGGGGCTGGGGCTCAATCCATGGGTCCCACACCTGCCCCTCCACAACCAAAAATTCAGAAATGCCCTTTAAGGGTTTTATATTGCTGAAATTGATTTTAAAATTTCTGAAAATTTTTCTAAAGTTCACAAAAATACTGAAAAACAAAAATCTAGAAATGGATTGGTACCAATGGATCAAGATAAGTGACTGTTAGGGCACTCCTACCGACCTAGTAACTGTGATCCTCAATTATCTTCTCAAACCAACCCAACGAGACCCATGACCCACAACCTCATGTAGGGGGTTATGATTGACTTGTCAAAGTTGGCTAATAAATTCCGGAACCATGTGCACAAAGATCGAGTCACATGAACATATCACTATAGTGCTAGGGGGGCTCTCTTGTCGCACATATGCACGTATCCTTTTTCAGAGTTGCTTTTTGACAATGCAGTTTTCATGTTTACATGCTGTGTGGAAGTTGAGGATTTAGCCCTTGTTCACACAGGCCTACATCCACACACTTGATACAACATAGTTCTCATGGCCTATAAACTATTCTTGGGCATTTCTCTGACCTCAATAAGGGATGACCATCTGAAAAACCTTTTCGGTAATGCATATGTCAAGGGGTAAGGGTTTTCGGAGATGATCAGGGCCAAAGACTGCCTAAATCTAGGTCAGTCACCATCAACTAATGCACCTACTCCCACTAGAGAGTATTATCCAAAATGATTTACATTTCCAGCTCTCACAGCCTTTAAAGGCCAAAAAACCCTAACATAAAGATCCGTTTTAAGGATAACAAAGAACTTCCAAGATTCCTTTTTGATCGTCTTGTTAACCATCATGACCGGTTCAGTTCAGTTCCATCTCGTTGTTGCCAACCAATTTAAGCACCTAGTGTGATCCAATTATGTATGTACTGGAATTTTCTGTTTTAGGGTCAACTGGACTAGCTGATAACTCATTCAAATATAACTGGCAGGTCCAATCTGTGTAATATTGACTGGAAACATCATTTGGAGCCTGGGCTTCAATCCAATTGATTCAGTCTTTAAGGTTTCAGATTAAGCATAGAGGCTCCAGTACCATGCCATTTGGGACAAGATAACAAAAACATTTGAATATCATCACTTGAGAATGAGAGATATACTTGTCTTAAGCACTTATTCTTTTCTTTTTTTTGAGAATGTTATCTTAAGCACATTCTTGATTACAAAGTTACTAAATACTCTCTGTAATATAAAATGCATATAAAACATCTACCCATTACCACTAATTAAACATCTAATCACTGTATTTTGTTTTTTGATTCTAACTGAGACCTAATCTTGATGCATATTATGAAGTGACTAAACTACCATTATTGCGCCTTCCTACAGCATGAATAGTATGTCTATCTAGTTACTCCCAATAGAAGTAATCTTTGATGGAGGTGGAATTCATATGAAAAGTTCATTTTTGGCAGGTATACAAATGCAATAATGCTTCTTAGGAAGCTGCTAAATTTGATCGCACAGGATGGAAGGCGAGGGTATTGGACCCTTAGATTGTCTATTGATTTGGAGCACCTAGGTCATCTGAACGAGAGTCTCTTGGTTGCAGAGGGAGGCCTAACTGATCCATGGGTTCGTGCTGGGTCTAGAATGGCCCTTCAAAGACGAGTTTTACGCCTGGGAAAACCACCAAGGCGGTGGAAAACTCCTAGTTTTGCAAAGTCTATCAAAAGGAAGATCAAAGAGGTATGTTTTGTTGATTTCTGCAGAGCACGCGAGATCAAAATCTTGTGCTTCTACCAGTTGGATCTAAAAACGATATAAAATTTGTGCTAATTAGGGTGCAGATTAATTGATTTCTTTGGTCTTGGTTTTATGATTAGGTTTACATAATGGGGAGGCCTTTGAACTGTGAAATAGGGTCGAAAAATAGGTTTTATGGTGATGATGATGAGCAGTGTGGAGTAGAGGAGTTAGCTTTGCAATATTATAAAGCAGAAGGTTGGGAAGGTGCGCACTCGGAGAGTGGTGTTTGGATGACAATATTTGGGCTTCTAATGTGGGATGTCATCTTTGCTGATATTCCTGATGTCTTTCGGACCAGGTTTCAGGTTTGCAGCACTTATCTCACATCCCTTGTGTGCTATCTTCCATTATGCATCAGTATGAATTGCATCTGTATCTTTGTAAGCTTGAGCATATGAGCTTTGCGATGTATTGTTGGAGTGCCCTTTGCTTTTCAGGACGTTGCATTTTTTTTTTCTCTGCTCTGCATATCCACTAGAGTACAAAGACTTCTCACTGGATTACGGGGACTCTTTTCAAATTCTGAAACATCCCCCCAACCATTCAAATAAGATTTAGGACATCTAGAGCTATGAATCTCCACCATTTTGATTAACTGTTAGTAAAGAACTACATTTTCACTTCTAAAACACATTTACTTATAGTTAAAACTAGTAAGAAAACCTCCTTCAAGTTCAAGAAACTCTCTGAAGTTAACTAGGGTTGTCAAAGCTGGGGAGTTTATGAATGAAACTCAGGATGTGTACAAGATTTTCCTTATATAAAATTTGATGTTGATTTGATAAGTACATGGTTTCTTGACTTTCTCCCAATGTTGTAGCATTGTGGTTGCGTTGGCAACAAGCTAGGTTTGATTCCTATTACAGACACCTTCTCTTTTTAGATGTTTTCACACAAAAATGTGAAAGTTCACTGTTTCTTTCCAAGTTAACTATTGGCAGACTTGGTTTTGGCAGTGACTGAATTGGTCCTTCTCTTCAGTTAGAACATTCTTAAGTATATGGATATGCATTACCAATGAAACAAAAAAGATAAAAAAAAAGAAGCAAGATTATAGATACAAGTCAAGATAACATTGTGTATTTGTGGTGCAGACAGCCCCATTAGACCTTTGCACCGATAGTTTTTATCCTGCAAGAATGGCGCTTATAGAAAGCCATCTAAGAAAGGTAAAACATGGCATGGCGAAGGACATCCTTACAACTACATGGGAATCTAATGTTGGCACCTCGTGCCAAGGTGTGAATTGGGAGAGACATACCGTAACAGATCTCCAGGATATTGTAACATGTGTTGGAGGTCCATGCTTGGCCTCTATTTGTCGGCTGTTGGCTCAAGATTACAAGAGTTGGTCAAGTGGAATGCCTGATCTCTTGCTTTGGCGTCTTTCTAGTGATGGAAAGAGTGATGATGCAAAGCTTGTCGAAGTCAAAGGACCAAAAGATCGCCTCTCTGAGCAGCAGCAAGCATGGCTGCTCATGCTTATGGATTGTGGTTTTGACTCAGAGGTCTGCAAAGTCAGGCCAACACCCTTCCAGGATTAAACATTGAGATAGTCTAGTTAGATGGGTTCAGGTCTTCTGTTGTATTGGTAAGGCTGGGTTGGGGAAGGCCATTTTATGATATAAAAGTGCAATGTGTGGAAGGTTGCTATGGCGGTCAACAGGGAGGTGAAAGTGTTTGCCAACACCAAATATAATGGAGCAGCTCTGTAAAATCTGGTTCTATTTCACCTAAGTACTATGGAGATGGAAAGAGGCCAAAATCCCATTATTATCTTACGGATGTACTTCTCATAATGGAGTGCAGTGCTTGACAGCTGCTGGCAAACAATGCGTTAACTTAATAGTAGTTACTAAAAGCAGAGGATGCAGCCGGTGCAACTTAATGTTTCACTTCTTCCTGGTTACTGTCGAGGAATTCGGGCCCTGGCTAGATGGTTACAGAGTCCATAAGTACAACAAGACGTCCCTGTTTCATTTTCCTATGCTGATTATCCAAAGAGAATCTGTCTCTCTCTTGGTTTTCTGTTTAATAAGGTATCTTCAGTTTGACTTTATTTTCATCTTCTTGGCCTCTTGGGTCAAATATCCATTGCCATGTCTCCATTGATCTCCTCAGGTATTCTTTAATGTTGTTATTATATATGTGCTGATATTTCTAGATGAATATAACTGGTAATTGTTGTTCTTTCAAGCTTGAATTTGCGGCCTGTTGGAGATTGGGATATTCACTGGTAAACGTTTTGTTAAATGTAGGATAACACTATTCAATATACTTCACATGATTCTCCTCACACCTTTTTGTAGGAATAGATATAACGCAAATGCTAAAATAGCGACCAAGGGCCTGTGCTTTCATAATTGAAGTGGAAAAGTGTTTTTTTAGGGGTTTGACTGGTCAAAATCCTCGAAGAGTTGGTAGACATACACCGGAGAAAATAATATTTTGAGATGAGTTTTTCCACAAGGCCTAATTGATTTGGGATCTAGTCAGGTCAGAGTTGGTTATCTAGTCTGCTTCTGATGCCATTGCTAATGATAGCCGCTAGAACCGAAAGTTAACGTTTCAAATGTTTGTCTTTCATAATGAGAGGCCTAGAAGATTCTGAACAGTGCCTAATTGCACTATTCATGCAAGGTGTGGGATTTGATTTTGATTTTGATTTGAGATTGTACACGTTGACATTGTTCCATTATGCACAAAAGTTACAAACACTTCAAATAAATTGGATGGCGAGCTGTGATATTGCATGATGTAGAAGAAAATTTCTCTGACTTGAGCATGGTTACTGGTACATCTCCAATAATCTGATTTCACTTCTATCTTGTTGTATAAGTGCATTTTTGTTTTGTGGAAACTTTTGCATGTGGCTCTACTCTCGTACGAAATATGTAAATGTTGTTCCCAACTATGCGATTTAAATAGACAATTGGAATTGCTTCAGTTATAATTTTACAAGTTAACATCTGAGCGTTCGATCTTGATTAGGTTGCTCAAAGTATTTTATTATATGAATCATTTTGACATGTAACTTGGAGCTACTATTTCTGATAATTTTTTTAACCAAAATGCCCTACAACTTGGATGGTTTTGGTCATTTCATTATATATATATTTTGACATGTAACTTGGAGCTACTATTTTTGATAATTTTTTTGACCAAAATGCCCTACAACTTGGATGGTTTTGGTCATTTCATTATATATATATATGAAAAATGCTGAGATTAGCCCACTAGTTTATATGAACATATGAGTCCAACAGTTCAGATTGAATATGGGCCGATCTGACGGTCACGATTTCATTTCATATTTGAATTTTAATTTTTTTTCTGCGAATTTAAATAACTTGAAATTTTAAGCATTCATTTTTCTCAGTAAGGTGCACCTAATAAAAATATTAAAAAAATAATTCGTATAACATAAGTTTGATCAAAATACCTCCGAAACATTTCAGTTTATTTAGATCAATTTATTTCTTGTAAATTATTATTTTTTGATATTTTTATTAGATTCTCTTATTTTTTAAGAATACAAGTCTAAAATTTCAAATTAGTTGGATTTATAAAAAAAAATTTAAATTAAAATACGAAATGAAGTCGGGACCATCAGATCGGCTTAGATTCGGTGGGAATTTGGGCTGTTGGACGTATATGAACACATATGTTCATATGAGCTAGTGTTCACATGTTTATATGAAAAAGCTGGGATTAACCCACTAGTTCATATGAACATATGAGCCCAACGGTCCAGATTGAATCTGAGCTGATCTGACAATGATAGTTGTTCGGTAGTGTTTGAATTTTATTTATTTTTTTACAAATCCAAATCACTTAAAATTTTAGGTGTGTGTTTATCAAAAATAGGTGAATCTTTAAAAAATATCAAAAAAATATTTTACATGAAATAAATTGACCAAAATACATTCAAAAAGTATCGGGGGGTCATTTTGGTCATTTTGTTTTATGAATAAACGTTTTTTTATATTTTTATTAAGTGCGTTTTGATGAGAAGAACACACACCTAAAATTTCAAGTGAT